GGGAAACCAATGTATTTATTTTTCTTGTGTTTGGTTCGCATAGAAAAAAAAAGAAAAACTTTTGTAAACAAAGCATAAAAGGGAAAAAATCTGACGTGGCAGAGTTTTCATCAATTTCACTTGGTTGGGGAAGGAAATCGGAGAGGGAAAAAATCTTAGTTGGCGGCGATTTCAGCAGAGTTTTCCCTCTTCCATTCGAGCGAACCAAAGCGGCACAAAGAAATGGACGGAAACAAAAAAGCTGACGTGGAGGGTTAAAAATCTGACGTGGAAGGATTTTATGAGTTTTCCACCCCTTATAATAGCGAACCAAACAGCCCCTTAGAGGAAAATTAAGAGGGAGAAGATTATGATATATATTTGCAAGATATTCAGAATAATAATATTAATAAGTAATTAACAACTAAATTTTCATATATTTGTATATGTACTAAGCTCAAATTTACATAAAAAATTACTAATAGTATCAATAGTTAAAATAATTATTTAAAATATTCATTATAGCTATAAATTAATATTTCACAGAATTAATACTTTCAGAACTATATATTTTATTATTTATTTATTTTGAAAACTCAGAAAATTCCAAAAATTAGGAAAAGTATTAATAAAATATAATATAATATTTTAAGTACTAGAAAAATTTATTTAAATACGTATCAAAATTTACGGTTGTTACACGATCCAAATAACATGAATATTCAAATCGACTTCACGTTGGTTTTGTTTCAATTCAATTATTAACATGAAACTTAAAATTGAGTGTAGCTCATTCAAACAAATATTAAAGAAGATAAATAATCATAATATTAATGTTTAGAGATATAAGTGAGTATTAACTATCAAATTAAAATTGAAGAACAAATTTTAGTAAAGAAATAAACTAAAAACAAGTAATTATAATATTTAACCACGTGCAAATGCACGTGCATAAAAACTAGTAAACCTTAAGGGGCTGTTTGGTTTGTTTCCTAGATATAGGGAAATGCAATTCCATGTAAAGAAACATAAGTTTTTAGTTTTCCAAACTTTTCTAAGAAATTGATTGTTTCGCTTTGGTTTGCACATAAAAAATGGTGGGAAACTAATGTATTTTACTTTTCTTGTGTTGGTTTGCATGGAAAAAAGAAAAAACTTTTGTTAATATGACATTTCCCACTTTTCTTGTATTTGTTTGGTTTCGAAGTTTGTAGAAAAAAGTGTTTATAGTCACCATGATAAGATTACCCCCATTATATACAATTTTTTTTGTCACTGCTAAAAAACTAGGCATCCTAGACGGAAAAATCCGTCTAGGATACACATAATTCCGTCTAGGATGTGTATCCTAGACGGAATTCCGTCTAGAATACCCGTCTAGTTTATTTCCGTCTAGGATGTAGTATTCTAGACGGAAATTCCGTCTAGAATACATCCTAGACGGAATATTCTAGACGGAATTCAAAACCGTCTAAAATACATCCTAGACGGATTATTCTAAACGAAATTTCCGTCTAGAATATTACATTCTAGATAGAAAAAATTTCCGTCTAGAATGAGTATTCTAGACGGAAATTTCCGTCTAGAATACTCATTCTAGACGGAAATTGATTTTTTTTATTTTTTTATTTTTAAAAAGGTATTCTAGACGGAATTTGAGCATCCTAGACGGAATTTCCGTCTAGGATACTATGCTACAGTAGTAGTAGTTTTTTTTTTTTTGCAGAATCTACGTTGGATGCATGTACACAATATTGAACAACAAAAAATTATATTCATATCCAACACAATCTAATTATATTCCAATATCAAATCAAATTATATTCAAATAATACATTCATCAAAATACTAGAAAAAATTGTTTACAAACTCATCATCATCACCACTCTTCTTATTAAGCCCAAGCCTAATCTTTCTTGCCTCTTCCTCTTCAACGTCTTCCTCGCCTTTGTCAGAATGATCGCATGAATCTTCCTTGCATGTGAATAGATGCCTTCAGGAACTACAAAAGGCAATGTGCTCCATAACAATGAACAAAATGCCAATATGCGAAAATGATCCGAGATGAAGCATATACCTCATTTGTAACAATGTCCCACAGGCCATCACTTGCAAGAATGAGAAATTCCTACGAGCCATCAATGATCTCCTCCTGTAGTACAAGATGAATAGGAATAAGAAAAATACTAGTGTTTAAAGAAATTAATTTCCAAATTAAGCTTGATAGTAGAACACACAAATTTTGTCACGTTAGTCCAAAACCTAAGCGTGGAATATATGCCTTAATTCTTCCAAATCAAATACCCTATGTAGCTGTAATAAGAAACAACGAATTGATTATATTATCACATAAACAACAAATACAAGTCGTATAAAATAGTTTAAATCAGGGGTAAACTTTGGGGGGCAAGAAACAAGGAAAGTCACTCCATACAAGAAGAATTAGATAAAAAGTAAAGCACCATAACAAATCAACAACCTTATAATAACATAGGTAGCTTAGATTACAAATGCTTCGTAAACAGCTGACAATGCCAGAAAAAAAAATCTTTGCTAAATTGTACTTCAGGGAATCAGATACACAAGTCATTTTAAGTATTACATGAAACCTGTAATTCGTGATTAATAAATTGGGTTTTAGATAATAATCCAGAGAAGGAAGGAAGGCAATCAAGGCATGCACACATATTTGATATTCCCTTAGCGGATAGCTGAATATTCACCATGTAGTGGTCAAGTAAAATATCAATGGTTTTGCTTCATAAGCTTAAATTGTTATTGATAGATATACAAAATTCTGAGGGATTTCCCTTATTTTCTATAATTTCCTTGGAAGGAACTTTGCACCAAAATAGCAGAAAACCATACAAATTATCAGGCAAGTAGACCAAATAATGTGAAAGTTGGATGCTCTTGATATGAGCATGCATTCTGGTGAGAAGAGACCAAAGAAAAGAATGAATTATCATGTCACAATTATCAAAGATAAGAGCCGAACCTGAATTTCTGGATCAGCAACAACATACTGCTTTAATAATATATCGCCAAATTCACGGGAAACAGCAAGAACACCACCAACACGCCATGTTCCTGCCAAACTCAAACAGTCAGTAACAAAAATTAAGAATAAAAAAATCTAGACATGAAAGGAAAAAATCATGCAGAAAGGGACATTAATTACCTGCCCACGTCACAAAACCCCCAGCATCCTCAATTCTTTGGCGCTCATCAGTTTGATCAGGCTTGTGATCTCTCGAAACAGCTATAGCTGGAAAGACGAGGCATGCTCATCAATGAGCCTTCTTATCTCATTGATGAAACTGGATCAATTTCCTAGAGCTAACATTACTCACTTTGTTATTGGATAAATGACAATCTTATAAAACTAATAATCGAATTTAGTGTTTAAGTGAACATTCATCACAGTAAATAAACCCATTCAATAAGCAACCCCCCTCACCCCAAAGGCTTGCCATCTCGGATCCTTGCATAAAAAAATCAAAAGGCAACACGCACAAAGATCGATTGACAAAGAGACATACAAGAAAGGATAAATATTCTTCTTTTACTAACAAGAGACCACAATTTCCATTTGTTCCCTGTTTCAAAGTACCAAACCCCTCCTTTCTTAAAACATTAAAGAGAACATTTTCATTATAAACCTAAAGATCAAAAACATAGAACCAGAACAATTACCATAACCCAAACACACATTTCCATAGCGATCAAAAACAAAAATAGTAACCAAACCCTAGCACACTTCGAATCTGAGAGCAAGTCCAAGCTCAGTTCCTCCAGTTCCCATCAAAAGCACCGTCTCCTCTAGAATAACGGGATCCACCACCACCCTCAGACCAACGGTGGAGAAGGGAGAGGTGGTGGAGGCCATGGATTGAGAGGGAGTAGAGGGGGAGAGAGGGGTAGGGGGTGAGGTTGAGGAGGGGGACGCGGTGGAGGGAGGAGTAGGAGGGGGGTTCATGAAATGAAAACGATTTGGGGATGAATTATTCGTTTTAGGGGGGGAAAGGAGGGCATTCGCGGGTTTATTGGGTGAATTTTTTAAAAAAAATTGGTCTGTGTATTCTAGACGGAAATTTCCGTCTAGAATACTATTCTAGACGGAAATTTCCGTCTAGAATACCTAGTTATTTAAAAAAAAAAAAACAAAGGAACCGTCTAGGATACTATTCTAGACGGAATTTTTCGTCTAGAATGTTTTATTCTAGACGGAATATTCTAGACGAAAAATTTCTGTCTAGTTTAATACATTCTAGACGGAAAAAATTCCGTCTAGAATATTCCGTCTAGAATACGTGATTTTCTACTAGTGTGTGCTCGTAATATGAGGTGATATTAATCATATAAAAGTTTGAATATTCTTGTTTGAGATTGAAAAAATTACACGAATCCTGTAATAACCTGATTATTCATAAATTAATGTAGTACATACCTGAATTACCCAAAAAATCTGCTGAAAACTATTAAAACATATAAACAACCTGAATAGTCATAAATATGTATATAACATAGCAAATCACATCAAATCTGATAATTTATGCATGTTGATGAACTATATGTGCAAAAAAACTGCATATCTAATTTGACCTGAAATATACCTGTTTGAGATAATAAAAATCACACGAAACCTGTTATCGAAGAAAAAAATAAAGGAGACCTGTAATACCCTGATTATTCATAATTTTATGAAATATGTACCTGAATTAGCCAGATATTCTTATGAAACCTATAAAAACATATAAACAACCTGATTAGCCATAAAGATGTATATACTATAGCAAATCGTATCAAACCTGTAAATACCAAACATGTACATAATGACTGAGGGCTCAGAATTTGGTCAATATCATCATAGTAACAAAAAACGGCCACGGAAGCTCGACGACGAGCACCAATAGCAACCAAACACCCAACAACATAGAGCTAAACAAGCTCGAATCATCATAGTAACAAAAAACAGCCACGGGAGCTCGACGACGAGCACAAATAGCAACCAACAGATATAGCGAATAACATACTTCAATTAGCGATTAAAAGCTCTCAAGCCAGATTACAGCTATAGCGAATAACATACTTCAATTAGTCCAACATAAAGAAATTTACAACAATGAAGGGAAGAGCTCCAAGTCACCCCACTGAGAAAATAACATCTTAAAACAAGTATCAGAACAATAACATACAGCTTCCCTTGTGCATCTTCGTTCAGCTTCTCCTCCTAGTGACTCTCTGGAACATGTTCTTTATATTCTGAGAGTCGGTTTTAGCTTTCAGCTTTTTGGTTTGTTTTGCGTTACTTGATTTTTTTTCTTTGTAGTATCAACTTTTCCCTAGGAAAAAGGTAGGTTTTGGACAAGGTTATAAGTAAATGATCTAAGAAAGTAGAAGTTTTAATTATTGTATTGAAATCATAGCAACTTACCGAGAGAGGACGGGAGGGCATTGGAGTGTCCTCTAGGAAACCTGGTTCTTTTTCATTCCTGGGAGTATTTTGAAGAGCTTCATGCCAGTTCAACCTGCAGGGGAACGACAATTTCAAACAATTTATTTTTCCCTCCAAGAAGTTTCAGAAGATTAGCGATTGAAAAAATATTAGTAGTATCCAATTTGAACTGCTACATATACTTTTAGTTACAAAAATGAGTTTAAATCGTCGACTTACTTTAAATGACTGTATAAGAGAGTCAACCATGGCTCATCCTTCAGGTATTCGCCCAATTTTGAGACAACTTCTTTTACTGTAAGACCACATAACAAAACAAAATTGATTATAGAGGTAAAATATTGAAGTAGTTAATCCGTGATATGACATTCATTTACAAGATACCAAAAGACTCAGAATTTTCACGCAGTTTGCTTGATTTTCCTATCAAGAATTTCCCAATCATGCAACCATCACGGCAAGTGCTCACAAGTCATAACCAAACAAAACACAAACATAAATGGCATTATATATAGTTAATAACTTAATATTCTAGTAACTGTATTAGGGAATTGCAACTTTGCTTGAGTAATATTATTTTTTACTTGAGGGTTTGACTGTAAAATCAATTTGTATACTCATGAATTTTTGTGGGCATTATATTCCCTCATCATAATAAGTTTGTAAAAATATTCTGTCCAATTAAGAAGCAACAAATCTAGAAATGTGGAGTTTTGACTCGTTCTAATTCAAACGTCAACAAAGTCATGTTCCAACATATAAAATAAGTATAGATTACTTTATGTGATCATGTTCGCAAGGGATTAATCAAGTGGTGTTCTTGGTCATCTAAAATACAAGATGTTCACTAGTAAGTAGGTACCAACAATAAAGAAAAAGGAATACTCATATAGGTTGCGGTACCATACAAGTTTCCTTTTCATCTTGAATGGCAAAATTTTTGTCCAGTTTTTCTAGTGACGATTTTTAGGTGGGGTACCTGCAAAGAGATAAAAGGAGAGTTAACTAAAGACACATGTTCATAATAATGTTGACTTGCTTTTTTTTTTTTAACTGCTCAATAGAGGAAAAGTTACGACAAACTTTTCGAGGATGGATAAATGTCAAACTTATACAAAAACCATGTACATTCTGAACTTACGACATACTTTTCGTATTGGGATGCAGTTCCTTTTGTTTACTACTTCCTAGTGTAGGAAGCACAAATTTTCACTGCCAGCGTAATGACATAGAACTAGCACACATGAGACGAGGATTTAATTGTGACCACTAAAATGTGTTACTTAGGAGATGTGGGGACCTCATGAACCTAACACAAGGGTGTCAAAATTGAATAAAGGAAAGAGAACTATTTTCACCCTCTGCTTGCTTGTTCATTTCCATAACAAAACCATGGCAGTCAATTTGTAATTATGTTAGCCGATTCTTATTTCTACTAACATTTAAACAAGAACCTAGTTTATAGGGTAAAGATTATCATGACAACACATCCAAGTAAACAAGTCTACACATTTGCAAATGCCCAAAATTTCCAAGAGGATCCCGATATGAGAGGTGATGTAAAATTGTTTACTATGGTTCGTGACAAGTCCAATATGCCCTAACAAAATAAAAGAAAACAACAGATTCCATACATATAGATTCACCTTGTTTAGATGTTAAAGTTGAGATCATTTCCCTAATTGCTTAAGCTAAATGTTCTATATGTACATCTGTATCCGTCGGTATGATGAGGACAAAACAAAGAACATTGTTAGAATCATCTTTCGAGCAAGTCGCGGTAGCTTTTTATGTTTTGGCTTTAGATGTTGATCCAAGTCCTCAAGGGTTAAGAATTAAACACAAACAAAGAATATTGTTAGAATCATCTTTCCAGCAGATACATGGGTAAGTTACCACATACAAGAAAGTGATCGCCGGTTTTGCAGTGTATATCATTATCTTTGAAATTAACCCAAAAAGGAAAAACAACACGCTAGATTATTCATCAAACAACATACATTAAAAAAGAATATTTAGCATTATAAGAAATAAAAACTGTTCATGAAGACTATTACCTTTCACTTCACAAACAAAATGCATTGAGTCCTCTGCCATGGGCATCATGCGTCGATAGCCAGGATATCCTCGATGTATAGGATTTCATCTAATTGCCTAAAAACCCCTAGATCAGTTCCCCTCTGCATTTTAAAAAGTCTCGATGTATAGGATTTCATCTAATTGCCTAAAAACCCCTAGATCAGTTCCCCTCTGCATTTTAAAAAGTATGGTTGAAAGTGATGAAGGAGAAAACCCTAAAAACCCCTAGATCAGTTCCCCTCTGCATTTTAAAAAGTATGGTTGAAAGTGATGAAGGAGAAAACCGTGGTTATATATATAAAAAAGAGGTTCTGATGACAAATTATATAATCCTGAAAATCAACAATCATTATTCAAAAGTCCCCAAAAGAAAATCATCACCTGAATAGGGAAAAGCTTGGTTATTCCCCTCTTTGCGAGTTCACCAACAATACTCTGATCAATCCCAAGCTTAGCAATCTCAAACCCCTCGTCATCTCCCCCCTTCTTCGAACTCACCACCTTCTTCTCCCCAAAATACCTCTCCTCCATCACGAATCCAGCTCGAGCGGCATCCGAAGCCCTAAACCCCAAGCTCCTCGTACCCAAATGAAACCCTCTGGCCCTGATCTCAAAGATTCCGCCTTTCTCCGACCCATGGAGGTGGTCGTGGCTGGAGATCGAGGAGGGGGCGGAGGTGAAGGATTCGGAGGGGACCAAGCGCAGGAGAGCGGCTAGGGTTCGTGAGGGGTAGAGTCGAAGATTCCTGGCGGGAGATTTCTGGCCGCGGGAGATTTCTAGCGGGAGGAGAGCAAGGAGGTAACTCTATCGTCGCCTGGGAAATCAGCGAGGGACAAAAAATCCGAGGTGGCCAAGGTTTTGGTCGATTTCTCTCGGTTGGGGAATGAAAGAAAAATCCACCCAAAATATGAGACGGGGGACAAGTGAGGCATCCTCTCCATCCAATAAGTTGGTCATCATCTGATGACCAACTCATTATCCAATAGGAGGGGGACGTCTTACTTGTCCCTCCTATTGGGGCCTGTTTGGTTCAATAGAGGCTAGGAATAGGATTAGGAATCCTATTTTATTTATGGATTCCAACCTAATCCATATAAAATTTATAGATAAGTTTTAGTTTTATGGAATCCCATTTTTTGTATTCTATGTTTGTTTCGCCCAAAGGATTAGGAATCTCACTTTTATAGAATTGGTCCAATTCCTAATATCATGTTTGGTTCAGAAAGAATTGGGAGAGGTGTCAGAAATCGGAATAAGAATTGGAATAAGAATTGGGAGAGGTGTCAGAAATCATGCCCAATTCCTCTCAAAAAGGTTGGATTTGGGTTTCTTGAAATTACCACTGTTTAAGCCACTTTATAGAATAGCAATTCTATAAAAAAAATTTGAACCAAACTCAGGATTAGGATTCAGTTGGATTCCGTTAATTACGAAAACACCATTGTCAGGTCCAAATGTCATTCCTATTCCATAAACTTGGTGAAACAAACAGGCCCTTGGTCTCATATTTTGGGTCACTGTAGCAAAGCTCGGGAATGAAATGGGGGAGAGAAAAAAATCCGAGGTGGCGGTGTTTTGAGTCATGTTTTCCCTCTTCAATCTTAGCGATCCAAAGCGAAGAAAAGAAATGGGCGGAAACAAAAAATCCAACGTGGAGGTGGTGTCGGAGACAGAAATAGATTTCATTGGGCTATTAAAACGAACCAAACAGCCCCTAAACATCAAAGATTGAAAAATTAAGTAATGCGTCCAAAACACTAAAAATACTTCCATTAGTATTAGAATCTGAAAAAAAACTAATAACTGCTATGGTGGAGGTTCGTTGAAGAAGAGTAATAATAGAAGATTGACTCCAGGAAGTCTTTCTGTGTTCAGAACAATGATATATATATAGAAAATAGAAAATAAAAAGAGAAATTAAGTTAGCCAAAAGAATTTATTTTTGCAATTTAACTAAAGAATAATCGTATCAACGTGTCAATATTTTAAATATATTAATAGACAGACAGCAAATCCTACAAATATAACTTTGTGACAATGTTGGTCAATATCCCTTCGTGGAATTGAATCATGATATTTTCGTAATTAATTTTACTTTTTTCATAAAATATATCTCATTATTTTTGTTGAAATTACATTATTATTGTAGCTTCTACATTTTAGTTGTCCTAAGCTGACTCACCTAACACAGTTAGGGGCTGTTTGGTTGTAAGTTTTTACTATGTAAAAGGATGGAAAGTGTAAAAAAGTGGGTCCTAATGTTAACTTTCCTCATTTTCAATTGTTTGTTTGTAGTTGTGAAAATAGTGTAACGTGATTTACTATGCTGATGTGGCATGAATTCACAAATCTCTTCAAAATAGTCTGATTTTGAAAGAAAGCTGACATATGTATCAGAAGTGAGGGGGCTAGGCCAATGGAATCATTTGAGTAGGGACCACACAATAACCACATTTTACACTTTCCAAACAAGCAATTAAAGTTACATTTTGCAAACCAAACAAGCAATTTATGATTCCAATGGAATAAAAAACAAACGAAAAAAAATTGCTCAGGGGCTGTTTGGTTGTTGTTGGTAAAGTTGTGTATTTATGACACAACTTGGAAAGTTGTTGTCCATCTCATCAATTTCACTTTTATACTTTTATTTGTTTGTTTTTAATTCCATTGGAATCATAAATTGCTTGTTTGGTTTGCAAATGTAACTTTAATTGTTTGTTTGGAAAGTGTAAAAAGTGGTACCTACTCAAATGATCATATTTGTTGGAATTATTTTTTATTATTATTTCTTGACTTCAATGTTAGTTTTCTCCTAAAATCATGTCTTTTTTTTATGAAATCACTTTATAAGCCACATCAGCATATGAAATCATTTTACATTATTTTCACAACTACAAACAATTGAAAGTGATGAAAGCTGACATTGAGACCCACTTTTTTATACTTTCCATCCTTTTACATGGTAAAAACATACAACCAAACAGCCGCTCAGTGAAATTGATGAGGTGGACAACAACTTTCCAAGTTGTGTCATAAGGGGCTGTTTGATTTTATGTTTTTACCGTGTAAATGATGGAAAGTGTAAAAAAGTGGGTCTCAATTTCAACTTTCATCACTTTACATTGTTTGTTTAAATTCTTTTTTACATGAAAAGCTTACACCTTTTGATGAGGTGTCACCGAAAGCAAAATCACCAAAATTAGGAGTGATTTTATTGGAAAGCTGACACAATGTCATAAATGTGTCCAAAAAATAATAAAAAAGTCAAAACCTTGTAGAAAGTGGCAAGGTGGATAACCATTTTCCATTTTGTGTCATAAATATTATAGTTTACATTATACTATCCAAACAATGTAATACTATTATTTTAAGATTCACAAAGATTCCTAACCAAACAATGTAAACACTCGAATGGAAAGTGGTGAGGTGGATAACCAATTTCTATTTTGTGTCATAAATACTCTAGTTTCCTAAAGACATCCAAACAACCCCTAAATACACAACTTTACCAACAACAACCAAACATGGGCTGTTTGGTTGTAAGTTTTTACTATATAAAAGGATGGAAAATGTAAAAAATTAGGTCCTAATGTTAATTTTCCTCCTTTTCAATTGTTTGTTTGTAGTTGTGAAAATAGTGTAAAGTGATTTACTATGCTGATGTGATATGAATTCACAAATCCCTTCAAAATGGACAGATTTTGGAGGGAAGCTGACATGAATTCACAAATCCCTTCAAAATGGTCAGATTTTGGAGGGAAGCTGACATATGTGTCAGAAATGAGGGGGTTAGGCCAATGGAATCATTTGAGTAGGGACCACACAATAATCACTTTTTACACTTTCTAAACAAGCAATTAAACTTATATTTTACAAATCAAACAAACAATTTATGATTCCAATGGAATCAAAAAAAAAAAAATTGTTCAGTGAAATTGATGAGGTGGACAATAACTTTTCAAGTTGTGTCATAAATACACAACTTTACAAACAACAATCAAACAGACTTTTGAAGAAAGTTATGCCACGTCAGTCAGAGTCCACCCAGGCCGCGATCACAAAATCCAAATTTAACTAATCTCAACTTTCTTGTAAGCTAGGGTTTTCGAAAAGCCCTAAATCCTTGAAATTGGGCGGGATGACGACTGCCGCTATCCAATTCTCTGAGCTCTCCTCCATTATCATGGTCTCCTTCACCTTTAAATTGCAACTTACAAATCTAGGGCTCAGATTCAATCAGCTCTCAGCTCAGCGCTATGCCTTCATTTCCCCCCAAAAAAATTTATTTTATCAGAATTTTCTCTTACTTATGGTTAAAATATATTGCAATACATAAATTTTGTCGGTGCATTTATTTGGTTACTTGATTTATGAAAATATGTAAACAAAATAGAATTTTTTTTTTGCTAATGTATAAAAATTGGGGGGAAAAAATACGGGTTTATTCGTAATACTCTTGTTTGAACCTCAACATTGTTATATTCTTCCCGCTCTCTCATATTCAAGAAAAGAGCTCATCTCTCTGGTCAAGAGCAAGAACCCCCATTTCTTCTAATTGTCAGGTGAATTTCCCTGTCTTTTCTGTGATTGGTATGTGTTTTGTTCTTCAAATTTCATTGTAAATTCCTGTATGAGATTGCTCTAAACTTACTGCCTTTGGACGATTACTCTCTAATTGTAAAGTTCTACGATGCGCAAATTGTTTAAAATCTTCATGTTTCTTCGAGTTCGTTCTAAATTTGTTTATAGGTTTGCTCTAATCTTACTGCTTTTGGACAATTACTCTCTGTCTGCAATGTTCTGCAATGCGCACTTGATTAAAATCTTCGTGTTTCTTTGAGTTTCATTATAAATTTCTTTATGGGTTTGCTCAAATCGAACTGCTCTTCAATAATACATATTATTGTATAGGTTTTTTTTTTCAAAACTCTGATAGTTCAATTGGGTTTTCTCTAATCTTAACTGTATCTTCACATTATAATTTCTTTCGTTTTTATTTTCTGCCCTCTTTTTCATCTCTATGTTTGTGAGAAGCCATCATAAAATTTCCAGTTTAATCCCTTTTGAAGATTATAATCTGTTTATTACATTGTTTTTTCTTCATTGATTAAAGTCTTGTGTATAAGAAATTAATATGTGGGTTCTACTCAAGACTCTGATATACAAAGTTTTCTTTCTCCAAATCTGACCTTTTCTTGCTGGAAAATTGATCTCAGAGCTTGCTCTCTTGAATTGGATAACGTTCTTGACCAAGAGCTGATGGCGGAAACAAAGAGTGGAAGTTGTACTCATAATACTCGTGAAAACACTAAGAGCAAGCGAATTCATCAAAAAACAGGGTCCTCTTCAGGGTGCATCTTCACATGTCAAACGTGTGAGAAGAGGGTAAAGAAGAGTCGAGGTAGGCCACCAAAGGAGAGAATGAGAGTAATTCCGGATGGAAGTGTTCATTGGATTTGTTGGACTTGTGAAGAGAGCTTCTGCGGTGTTGAGAGTTCACATGGTCCTGGTGGCCATGCATTTGAACATGGGCAGAGAGATAATCATTCATTTGCCGTCCGATTAGATAAGCCAAATGAATTGTATTGTTTTGTGTGTGATAAATATCGACTGGTTACAACAGAGGCAGAGAAGAGCGCAAAGGTGGAATCAGCAAAGGATGACATTGAAGACCCAATACCTCAAAACTGCAATCACTATGATCGTAGAAGAACCGAGGTGAAGCAAACTCTTCAAGGAATCAAGGCCTCTTTTAGCAGGTATTTCGTTTGTGAAAAATGTAAGAAGAGGGGTCCTGGTAGGCCGTCAAAGAAGAAAAATGAAACAATCTCGGAACCAACCTTCGATTGGGCTTGTTTGGACTGTGAACAAAATTTCTGTGGAGGTGAGACTTCTCTCGGTGGTCCCATGGGACATATACTTGTCCATACACTGAGCAACGATCATATATTTTGCGCCCGGTTAGATAAGCTGAGTCAGGTATGGTGCTTAAAATGTCATATACTTCTACCTTTAGGTAAGAGGATGAAACCGTGTAGAGTTAAAGGGTTACCTAACTATGGGAACACTTGCTACTTCAACTCAGCATTGCAGAACCTTTTTGCCATTAATAGACTGAGACAGTGTCTTGCAAACTTGGAGATGCCAACTGGCCATGTTACCGGAGCATTAAAGAAGCTTCTTACTGAAACATACGAGGATTCTAAAGAGAGCATACGACCTTCAGAGCTCCTTGATTTTGTGCAGAAGGATGAGAGATTTGTCGAAGGTGAGCAGCATGACAGTCATGAATTACTCCTATATTTGCTTGAGGAGTTGGAGTCAGAGGGAATGAGTTTCGTGGATGAGATATTTAGAGGGGAATTCTCTAGTATTCTGCATTGTGAGCGATGTGGAGACACTTCAACAACACATGATCCACTTCGTGATCTTTCTCTGCAGGTGCCTTTTAAGATACCTCCAAAGGAAAGGAATGAAATTAGTCCACTTAAGAGTAATGTGCCTCCTGCAGCAAAAGATGATGGAAAGCAGGACACAGGGATCGTAGAGCAATCTGTGACAGAAGGTTTCACATCTAAGCTTAAATCGGATGAGGGAAAACAGGACAGAGGGGTTGCAGGGCAGTCTGCGAGAAAAGAACTAGTGCCTAAGCTCGAATCAGATGAAGTGTATAATCCTCTTCCATTACAGACAATAGACCCAATGGCTGAAGCAGCATTTGGTGATCCAGTCTTGAATGATACCCTTGCAATTATCAAAAGAAAAACCGTTCAACAAAGACACCGCCAACAAAGGAAAAATCAACTCTCATCAAAGCGCAAGTCATATGCCAAGGTAAAGAAAGAAGGCTCAAGCAAGCCTGCAATCACTGATGATGTAAATGCGCTTAACTACGATGAGGTTTGTGAGGTTGACGACACAAATGGTCCTCTGTCAGTTGAGAGGTGCGTGGCCTTATTCACAGAACCCGAGGATATGTGTGACAACCACTGCATAAATTGTTCACCGACTCTTCAACACCAGAAGTCATCAGAAGCATCTGAGTTTCAAGGGGATGGAGTTATATCTGAAAGTAAGAAGACTCCAGGTTGGCCTAGCAATACTGGTGGTCACCAGGATGTAGCTGGTTCCTCTGAAAGTTTACCAGGAAACTCCGGGAAGGAACAACTAAGCGAGGATGTGGATATGGAATCCAAATCCAAGGAGGCCAAGAGGAAAATCAAAAGGCTTCTTGTCAAGAGGGCCCCATTTGTTCTAATCATTCAGCTGAAGAGATTCACACAAATGGAACCTGGAAGCTTCAAGAAAATAGAAGGGCACATCATCTTTAATGAAATGCTTGATTTAACGCCATATATGGATTCTAGGTATTACTCTTACTCATTCTTAAGTTGTAATTGCTAAATTGCCATTAGAAGTGTTGCATCTCATAATTATAACAAAACCAGTTGCTTGTAGTGCTAATTTTATGAATGTTTACATGTATATCCAATGGCACTATTCATACATTTTGCACGAATCAATGATGTATACTTGTAGCAACGTGGGTGTATACTTTAAGGCAGCGCCTTAGGTTCTTATGCTTCATTTTCTAAGATTAGGACAATGAATTCACAGAGAAAATTTCAAACACTCTGTTCAGAAGCTATTAGTGGGGTTCGATTTAAGGTCTAGATTCTCTTATTTGTGGACTGTAGTTTTTGGTTTGAAAATCAATCCTTACTCCTTAGTCAGAAACTTTAGATTGGTTATGTTCTTATATTTTTAGATGTTACTCTTTATCTTTTATATAAGATGAAAATAAATTAGAAGTTTTATTTGGTTAGCTCTTATATTTTAGTCGAGGTTTAAGTTATTAGATATATCTATCAGTTGTTTGGTTGAGATTAGAGTCTTTTATAAAAGAGTTTGTTAGAATGGGAAGATATGTTATGTTGACTGAAAAACAATGACTCGTTTGATTGACAGTGTGGTTCTCTTCTTCTTTTTTTCCGAAGGTGTGATTCCTTCTCTTTTTCTGAGGGCAGCTATCTTACATCTGCGAGGGTGTGATTCCCTAAATTTCTGCTCTTATTTCTTAGAAAATTTCAAATTTCTCTACTCTCCAAATCCATTATTTATTAATTGGTATCAGAGCATTCAATAATGCATAATACTGAGATTCTGAAACCGTTGTTAAAAAAAGGCAGAACCATGAAGGAGCTAAATGTTGATTGTTGAAGCCATGGATAGTTCAAGATGGTCGATCTTTCAACTATTTTAGCCCTACAATATCATGCTACACATGGTGAATACTAACATTCGAAATGCACATAATTTGCTAAGGTTGTATCAATCTGTCCTTAGCTCAAAACTTGTATATTTAGGATTTATCAATGTGCGCACATGTGGTCATCGTATCCTTAAAGGTACATCATAGTTTTTAAATATAATTGGATCACTAATTGGGAACTGAGTTTTAAATCTATGTAGGATTAGCAAGTGATTTGGTTCCTGTGTAACTATTGAATGTCGTCATAGGAATGAGCGTAGTTAGTATATCTCTACGGCATGGTTCCTATGTAACATAGCGTTTTGATGTTTCTGTTCAGTAATTTTATCCTACCAGTTTGGAATGTGGCGTAAATTGCACTGCATTAGGATTAATCGATGCAAAGAATATAATGAACATGTCCGCAGTTGTAAGCTTTGGAAGATATGATTCATTGTTATATTAAACTGGAGGAGTTACTGGAATTGTAACTGTTAAGCATGTCTAAGCCATGGCGTGGAGCATATGCTTTATCTGTAAAGTAAGGGCTGTGCTGCAGTATTGGTTCATTTATAGCTAACCTTGGGCTGCGCTGCAGCATTGCTTCATTTATAGCTAACCAAGATCAGCACTAAGATAACATGAACATGAGATGACATATCTTAATTTAGGCTGTTAGGTTTGTTCATTTCGGGAGGTCAGAGTTGATGAAAAACTGAAGATCGGTCGTTCACTTTCACACAGTCGAAATTCTTGAAAACTGTGAAGATTATCAGTGTTTTGCTACTGGATATCATTGTTATCATGACATAATTGCAGTTTTCAGCATGGTTATTGAGATGATCTTTTCTCCATATTAGCTATATTAGGTGTTTTAATTGCAAACTCCATTTGCAAAAAAATGCAAGAAGCATTAGCAATGTGGAGAATTTTTCATATTTGTCTTCAAATCTTACTTTTAGATAAGTATCAATTTTTTTGTTAGTTTCTGAATGCATATTAGTTTTTTCTCTCGTCTTTTAACATTTTGGAGGTTGGAAACCATTTACCTTGTTATATGGGTAATGCTATGTGTAAATCAACCTGTTACTTTCCTTTTTTTTTTTTAATGATGAACTGTATGCTGATAACAGAGCTGCAGAGTGAAATTTCAATATGCACCAATGATTGTCAGACTTAAAACCACATTATGGGCGAAATGTTAAATTATGATGTTTGCTCTGGCATTTTCTGTCTTTCACAAGCAGAATGCCCATGCATGCCAGTTATGTAAGGGCTTTCTCATTTTAGTCTTGTCAATTGTTATAGTAATTTCACGGTAGTATTTTCTGCATCTTGCTGAGCTGTAAAAGAAATATGCCTGCTTTCTTTATCCTTATGGGTTCACTATGCAACATCTAATAATTGGTCTGCATGTAGTAGTGTGGAAAACCCTGTGGTCTTATTGAATACAGGTAAACTCATTGAAGGATTGGTTAATTGCTTTCTTCCTCAATGATTGTCTTTTTCAGATAATTAAACTAAAGTTAAAACATGTAGATTACAAATGATAATTTCTAGTTGTAGCGTAACTCGCCTATATTATTTTTATTGCTGTGTGGAGCCAACATGCCAAACAAGTATATTAACTGTAAGTTACAACAAAACACTAGAAGTACTCCCTGCATAACAAATGCAATAATAACAAGTACAATGTCCTTTACTATTAGCACGTAATTGTACATGGGTCTACATGACAAACTTTACTCTTAGCAGCATCTAATGTCTGCACAAAGGTACATCATATGCGCACAAGTATATTGATAAAAGTATATTAACTTTTGTACTCAGTATCTAGTGTCTGCATGGTTTTCTTTGAGCACAGTATATTCTTATAGGAGTAGTCCGTGAGATTGATATGTAGTATAGAACTTGATGGGAAACAAGAAGGTTTCTACTAAAGCCACAACATTGACATTTATACAAAAAGGCAATTACTATCATAAGCAAGCTAAAATTTCTTAGAATAGATTGTGACTCATCTAAAAATAACAGATATGGAAGATACTTTCGAAAATGACTAATCTCTCTTACACGTGGGATATTAATTTCTGGGAGATTTCAACCCTCTAGACAGCAGAATCTAGAGAACTGGTCGATTTCAATTTTGTTGCTCTCGTTTGCAGCTTCAAAATGATAGGCTATTTCGACCATTGAAGCAAATTATTGCATTGTATACTATCATTTTAAGTTTGGCTTCCTGTATATTTGGTAGCGTGTATATAATTAGCATGTTCACATGTTTCGCTTCATGACATCTTCTTTTATTTCCATTTCAAATTCATATGACCCTTTTATGAGGGAATTTGCAGTCCTTTTATTGTCTATCTAAATAATTAGGCATTGTTTCCCATTTAATTGCAGGTTTGTGGGGGACGAGAGGTATCTTTATCAGCTCGTAGGAATTGTAGAGCACTTGGGAGTCAACATTACGCATGGTCATTATGTTGCATATGTAAGAGGAGAGCAAAGCCAAGGTGGTCAATGCCCCTGGTTTAAGGCTGATGATTTTGAAATAGAGGAGGTCTCATTGCAACAGGTCCTTGAAAGAAACGCCTATCTTTTGTTTTACGAAAGAACATAATGCCTGAGGTATGCTTTGAATAACCTGCAGATCTAAAAGACCCAAATCTTGTCAATTTTTTCTGTAAGCTTGAGAACATGAAGTTGAACCCAACTTGTCTTTGATGGATTTTGAATATGAGCGGTGGAGCAGTCTTCTAATGATGGTTGCTGTAGTAATTGTGAATATGCTAAGACAAGGTCAATGGAGACACCAGTTATCATATTCTTAGGAAAATATCTTGAGGTTTTAAATATTTCCTCTTTTTTAATGCTTGGTGATGAAGATCTATATACCAATTCCTTGTTTACAGTTTGGAAATATTTGAAAATCTCTTACGTAATTGGATGCTTCATATATTCGTCACAGATTAGAAATCAGAATGTTACGGTTGTTTTTGGGATACATATATTAGGACCTTTATCTTACCCATATGTTAATTGCTGAAGATTAGCTATTCGTTGCTCATTGCCTTGTGAAATATTTCTATTAGAAAGAGTGAGAAGTTAATACTTTAAAAAAAATTTGAACTCAGGGCTTTTATTGTCGTTAAATTTCCAATATTTATTGCTCCCTCCTTGCTACTTCTAGTAACATGTAAATTTGGCACTGTAATGGAAGATGGTGTTCATTTTCTACTGCAATTTTGAAAAATGAGTACAGCTTTTAGGACTTTGTTGCGTCATTTATATTTTCTCGTATTTTTTTTTTCAGAATTTTATTGTGTCAATATATCACATAGTTCTTATTTGTCTCCATAGTGTCTGAGTCCATGCTTCTTAATTTTGAAAGCTTTAGATTGATTGCATTTGTAATGTGCATATAACTTAACTCTCTTTGTAGTACTCTCAATAAGCATATCTATTTGAAATCCTAATTTTACAATGGAGCTACTTAACACCCCATTGATTATTTTCATTGAGAAAGGAAACTGAAGCATACAAGTTACACAGCCAGCTACCCAGCCTTATCCGCATAGAATTTTGACATTAATTTTTTTGGGCACAGCTGGTCACATCTAGGGCCATATCCCTTCACAATCCTTGTGACGGGAACATTATAGGTGTACCAAAATCAACAAGAAAAACATTATCTTGAAAGAAATTTTGAAACATGGGGATCCTCAACCGCTGGATTTGGTCCTCCAATCTTAACAACTAACTGAAAGCAGGCTGCCAAACTGTGAATGATTGATACAATAAACCGCGAAATTTTATTGATTGCTGACAGTTCGATTATTCTGATGATTATATATGGTTTACGTTGCAGATAATGGCCGTCACCATGTGAAGGACAAGCAGATGATGTTATCAGACGGTGACAAATTTTAATTTGAAGTAACAGCTGGTATTAACGACATTATTTTATACGCTATTAGATGTAATTAAGGGATAAGCCTTGGCTAGCAAGGTTTATCATTGCATTTGATTGCAAATCCTTTCTTTTGAGCCTATAATTTGGTCTCACGTGTACTTCATTTCCTCCCTACTCTCTTTTGAACATAAATTTGTAGGTTGTAACTCAAATATGCCATGTTCAGGTAACTTGTGCGTTTGTAAATTTGTGTGTGTGTTTTTTTTTTTTTTACTTTTAGCCGTCAAATGAATTTCGAGATTTGAAATTTAGAAAAATCAGGAGAGTGATTCGTCCCTTTGCTCTTGGCGTATAGGTAATCTTAGCAAAATTCATTCTGTTATAGATCGTTGAAACTATGCTAATATAACTGAAGTATTTTAATAAAAGAATTACTGTCATTTTTACTGTAGGACGATGTTTAATGCCTCATCAATTCAGGAGGTCGTCAATATATCCTCATTGTTAATACATAAAGTAAACCTCAGATGATAGATCATTTTGGTTTGCCAAACTTTTTTTCGCCCTTCATAAAAAACTACCTTATATGTCAGTCCATATTTGACTTTTCATTAGACATCAAATTTATGGAGCACACGGCACCTAATATATGAGTTATATTGATTTTTAGTTGCTTTTAGCTTTTATGATAAAAATCCTATAAAAATTATTTGGGTAGAATAGTAACTTGTTTGGTCAAACTTAGCTTATACATGTGAGCTTATAAGGTAGTTTTTTAAAAGCTGGGTACACCAACTTTTGAAAACGCCACTTATAAGCTAACTTATTTATTAGCATAGTTTAGAAACGCAAGCCTGTGAAAGGGGTAACCGTGTGATCACTGTCCTAGAACAATGGTCGCCGCCTTCACAGAGGCGATTCGATGTGACCTCGCCTAGTGGTAAGAAACACCCGAGAAGGCCGACACCAAAGTTTATTGCGAACTTTGGTCTCTTGCTCAATGGATGTTTGCTCGACAAATTAAAACCAGAAATCAAAATCTTATAAAGAATTATGAGAGAGAGAATAGAGATTGCTCATTTTTTTTCCGTGTTCTTCAGACTTCCCTAAATCCCTTTTAATAGTTTTGTAAATTTTTCCGTTGAGTTTTCGTCGCCACAATATAAGGAAGAATCTTCTGCTCGGAGGAAAAAAAAGGTGAGAGCGGAGAAATCAGATATTAAGAAGGAGAAAGCGTTATACAGAGAAGAGGATAAGGAAAGAAACAAATATTATGCAAATGTACCCCTCAAAATATTATATTTGCATAAGAATTAAGTAAAAAAACTCAATCTTTTAATTAATTCCAACAATTCCCCCCTCCCCCCACCCAAAGATTGAGTTTCGGGGAATAAAAAGAGAAAGAAGAAAAATAACAACAATAATAATGGTAACAAAATATAGGTCGGGCAACCTCATATTGTGAATTCGGAAAAGATAGCTTTCAGCTTTGAATCGTTGCTTAATGACATTTGTCACAATTTAAGGGGCATAATGGATTAGATCTTGAATTAGGCCCCTTGATCAGAAGTTAACAAAAGCACACATAATTTATATCCATTTATTGAGCGAGTGGGTTGGAGCGTCAATGACTATGCTCACAATAACCGTCTCATGAGAGTTACTAGGAATCAGCCCTATGTTCCCAACCGTGACTGTCACGGTTCCTCTCACGTAGGTAAGTTCTCCAAGGGTACTGTGATTGGATATTGCAATCCCCATAAAGGTTGGGCTTATTAAGAGTAGAACTCATCATGCACAGTCACATCATAAGAGCACTATCACCATAGGAATGAGGGAGTAGCTATCATGGTGCTAGTCATAATTGCATCCAACACTACAAAAGAAGTATAACTCTGAAGTTAAGTGCTCCACACAAGATCACCAATCAAGCTTGTTTCTGTCGCATTGAACCTTTTTCATGAGAATAACTCATCAAAATGTTGGGTTCCCGCTGTCAGTGAACTCTACTATAGGCTTAACCCCATTCCCATCGATGATTCTAGTATTGCACTCCTAGATAGACCCTTTGTCAAGTGGTCTGCCAAAATTTTCTTTGACTTTACGAAGTCCAATGCACATATTTAAATCTTATCTGCAGATGTATGTTCAATTTTTTATTGATGGTATTTTGTTTTAAAAGTTCTATAGTGGATTTGGAGTCTATGTGAATAGATAAAGGAGGAATAGGTCCAGACACAAAAGGGAGCTTAGATATAAGGTTCTTCAACCATTCACCTTCTGAGCAACAAGAATCTAAAGCTATAAGTTCAGACTCCATGGTGCTTCTAGAAATCACTGTTTGTTTATAAGACTTCCAAAATATAGCAGCACCACTAAGCATAAAAACAAATCCAGAAGTAGACTTCACATTATCAGAATCAGTGACCCAGTTAGCATATTATACCCTTCAATCACATTAGGTTATCCAGTATGAGTTAAACAATAGTCTGTTGTACCTCTCAAATACCTAAAGACTCTTTCTGATGCATTCTAATGTTCCTGACTTGGGTTACTAGTGTATCTACTTAGTCTACCTACTGCATAAGCAATGCCATGTTTGGTTCGGTTTGTCACATAAAGAAGAGAGCCTATCAATTGTGAATATCTATGTTGGGATATAGGCTCACCATCATGTTTGTTCAAGGTGACCGAGGAATCATAAGGTATACTCATAGGTTTGTACTTATGAAATTCAAGTTACTCTAACATGTTCTTTATTCTATGGGATTGACTCAAAGAAATGCCTTTAAAAGTATTGGAGATTTTCATTCCAAGAATCAAATCAGCTTCTCCAAGATGTTTCATATCAAAATTCTTTGACAAATGATATTTGGCTTCTAGAATGACTTCAATTGAGGTCCCAAAGATAAGAATATCATCTACATACAAACACAAGATGACACAATCATTGAAAATAACTTTTGAGTAAACACATTTATCAAACTCATTGATAGAAAAACCATATTCTGTAATGATTTTGTTAAATTTTTGGTGCCATTGTTTAGGAGCTTGTTTAAGCCCATATAGAGATTTCACTAATTTGTAGACCTTTCTTTCTTGACCTTTGGCTATGAATCCTTCCGGTTGGTCCATATAAATCTCTTCTTTGAGGTCGCCATTTAAGAAAGCGGTCTTACATCCATTTGGTGAAGGGTCATCTTGTGAATAAAAGCTAAGGCTAGAAGAACTCTAATAGTAGAAATCCTAGCTAAAGGGGAGCATGTATCAAAGTAGTCAATTTTTTGTATACCCTTTTGCTACTAGTCTAGCTTTGTATTTCTCAATGGTTCCCTCAGGTGGTTGAGGCGGATCTCGTCGACGTCGGGGTTGGGACTGAGGTGTCACGGCCTGGTGGCGGGCTGAGGGGGCGAGCGACGTCGGGGTTGGGACTGAGGTGTCACGGCCTGGTGGCGGGCTGAGGGGGCGAGGAGCTTCAGAAGAATCCATGGCTTCTTGGTAGGTGTTTGGATCACCTTAAACCAAAAAGGTAAAGAACTCTTCTCCGAAATTCTTTTCAATTCTTCCTCTCTTGCTTCTTCTGGGTTCTACTTCTATAGATTGTGGAGTACTGGAAGATGAGGCAAAGCTAGAAGAAGGAAGTGTGCTAGAAGAGAGCTCACTAGGAGTCCTAGCTCTGAAAGGGAATATATCTTCAAAATATACTGCTTCTCGAGCCTCAATGATAGTGTTGTTGGTTATATCACTAATATCTGAGTTAACTACTAAAAATCGGTTCGCGTTGCTATTCAATGCATATCATATAAATGCAACATCTACAGTTTTGAAACTAATTTTTCTCTTCTTAGGTTTTAGTATCCATACCTTAGCTAGACATCCCCAAACCATAAGATAATCTATTCTAGGTGTTCTACCTTTCTAATGTTCATGAGTGATGTTAGATATTTTGTGAGGCGCCCTATTAAGAATGTAGCAAGCAGCCAAGAGTGCTTCACCCCATAGGTTTTCAGGTGCTCCTGAGCTGAGAAGCATACAATTCACCATATCCATGAGAGTTTTATTCTTCCTTTCAGCAACCCCATTGGATTGAGGTGTGTAGGGAGCAGTCACCTTATGAATAATACCGTACTCTTTGCAATATTCGATCATGTTATTTGAGGTATACTCCCCCTATGATCCGATATTTGGATCTTGATTTTCTTTTTAATTTGATTCTCAGCTTCTGCCTTATATATCTTAAACTTTTCTAAGACTTCATCTTTAGTTTTGAGAAGATACGTATAAGAATACTTTGAATGATCATCTATGAAGGTTACAAAGTATCTTCTTCCACCCCTAGTAAGAATTCTGTTTGAATCACAAACATCACTATGTATGAGTTCTAGTGGTTCATAATCTCTATGAATAGAGTGGAAAGGTTTTCTAATGGTTTTAGCTTGAACACGAATCTCACACTTAGAAGGTAGATCTATCCTGGTTTTGGGTATTAAGTTTAAAGATGTCATTTTCCTAATGGTTCCATAGTTTATGTGTCCTAACCTTCCATGCCATTCATTACAAGATTTAACATTTAAGATTATGGAAGAAGAACTTTTATTATCAAAAGGTCTTATTACATTCAACTTAGAAAGACCATCACAAACAAAACCTTTACCAATGAAAATATCATTCTTGGTAATTACAAACTTATTTGACCCTTTGACAATTCTAAATCCAACTTTCAATAAAACAAATTCACTAATCAGATTTTTTCTAAGTAATGGTACATGTAGGACATTATGGAGAGTCAAAATCTTTTCGGAAGTCATCTTTAGATCCACACATCCACTTCCCATTACTTATCTAGTCGAGCCATCTACTAGAATTACACTCCCTCCACTTGTTTCCTGAAGTTGAAAACCAAGAGCAATTAGAAGAAATATGAATATTTTCTCCAGAATCCAACCACCAGTCATTAGAAAAAGTGGTAAAAATTACTACGTAAGAAGAGGAAGCCAACCTAAAGGAGTCTGAGTTACTTTCTTCTATGTTAACCCTATGACTTGCTTCTCCACCATTTCCACCTACAGAAGTATTGATAGGAGCTTTCTTACGGTAGAAGCACTGAGTCAAAAGATGATTGGTTCTCCCACAGACATAGCAAAATTTAGTCTTAGAGTTTTGGCTAAAAGGTTTGTGGTTTCTAGAGAGATTGAGATGTTGGTTAGGATGATGAGAATGATTCTTCTTCTTGAAATTCTTGCTAGAGACGAAGAACAACAGTGAGTGGTTGATGTG